CCAGCCCCGCCTTCCCACGGTCCACGCCGGCAGCCTCCCTGCCCGGAAGAGAGCAAGAGACAGACGATCAGGGCCGGCGCGGCGCGGGGTCCGAGCCCATTCCCCCCGCCCCGATGGGCCCCCTCTCACCCCCGTGACCAGTCTGAGCCCGGGCCCCATTCCATCTCCGCCTACGCGGCCCGACCACCGCCTCCCTTTCGGCCGCCCCCCCTCCCCAGCGCCGCTCTAAGACTCGGTGAAGCTGCGCCCCGCCCCGTCCCCACCGGTCTCCTTCAATCCTCCTGGGGGTTGCGGTCCCTTTAAGTTGCCCGGCGCGGAGGTGGGGCCGAGCCTCCCGGACCGGAAGCTGGCTGGGCGCGTCACTTCCTCCCGGAAGCGGGCCAGGGCGGATGTCTCCGGCGCGTCCCTGCACGGGGTTGAGGGCCGCGGTGGCTGCCAGCTTGGGATTGAGCGAGGGGCCGGCAGGCTCCACCCGGAGCGGCCGCCTCCTGCGTCCTCCGAGCCCCACTCCGGCGGCGCCGGGGGCCCGGCTATTGCGGCTCCCGGGGAGGGGGTCCGTGCGGGCCGCAAGCCCGGAGCGCGTCGGTTGGACCGAGGCGCTGCGGGCGGCCGTGGCCGAGCTGCGCGCCGGCGCCGTGGTGGCCGTCCCCACCGATACGCTGTACGGCCTGGCCTGCTCGGCGAACTGCTCGGCGGCACTGGGCGCTGTGTACCGCCTCAAGGGCCGCAGCGAAGCCAAGCCGCTGGCCGTGTGCCTAGGCCGCGTGGCCGACGTCTACAGGTAAAGCCGCCCCGACCCGGCCCCGCTGGGGGCGGCACCGCGGGTGGGGCTTCCGGTGACAGGCTTGGGAGACTGAGGCGCAGGGAGCGGGAGGGGCTTGTCCAAGCTCACCCAGGAATCCGGAACTGGAAATGTGTATCGAGCACTTACTGTTTGCTAGGCCCTGAAGTAGATGCTCGGGCGCAGCGATGAACGAAGCAGGTTCCCTATTCTTCTGGCGCTTTTGTGATAATGGGGGAACTCCCACGGTTTAAAATTTTAAAGGAAAAAATACGGTACTTAATTAGTAGAGAATGCTTCGGAGAAAATAAAACACGGAGTGTGATGGCGGTGCTTGATAGCTGTTCTTGTAGCCTCGGAGACCAGAGGCATGTGGTTCTTAGGGCCCCCTTTCCTAGATCTGCCTGGAGTCTGGACTAGGACCAGCGGTGGCCCTTCATTGGATGGATTTGCGGCCCCTTTGTTTCCCCAGGTACTGCCATGTGAGACTACCTGAGGGGCTCCTGAAAGACCTATTACCAGGACCAGTGACCTTGGTGATGGAACGCTCAGAGGAACTCAATAAGGACCTGAATCCCTTAACTCCTGTGAGTCAGATTTTCTCTTGTGTCCTCAGACTCCTGTCATCTGGCTTTTACCAAGATCCAGGCAAGACCCGTTCCTCACCCCTTCCAACATTTCTGATGGTCCTCTTTTCCCTTTGCCTCATAGCTTGTAGGCATCCGCATTCCTGACCATGCCTTCATGCAGGACTTGGCCCAGATGTTTGGGGGACCACTTGCTCTCACCAGCGCCAACCTCAGCTCCCATGCTAGTTCTCTGAATGTTGAGGTGAGTTACCCAGTCGTTCTTCCCAGCCCCGCAAACATCACCAGGCCAAACACAGTTTTCTCTGAACCACAGTGTTGGTGGTTCATTGGAATTGCCTGGCAGGAGAGTCCAATTGTGGGAAATCTGCCAGTTGGCAGGGGAATCTAAGTTAAATTTTGGAAAGGTTTTATTCAGAATTAGAGAGGGGAGGGAGGGAATTGGCTCTTTTTCCTATCTTTTTAGTAATAAACGTTATGATAAGTATAATCAGTTTTCTCTTTTGTGAGGGTAGTAGTGGTTAGAAAATACAGTTAGGTGATAAGTCTTTACAGCAGTGCTGTAAAGAAAGTTAAGGCTCTGAAAAGTTAAATCACTTGTCCCAGGGACTTGACCCTCTTCTCTTACCTCTGCCATAAGCCAGGTCAAAGAAAGGATCATCCTAATTCTGTTTTAGTTGCATAACTTAGAACAAATGAGGACACAAAGAAATTTAACTTATCACACCGTTTTCTTCTTACTGAATTTAAATGTAGAACAAGTGGTCCCCCAAACATCTGGGTTTTCCATGCCCAGACCTAATGAGTGAGTTCAGAAGCCTTGGAAAGGGAGCGTTCAGCATCCCTTTTTATTCTCAGACTTTTACTTGGTCCTGGTGGCCATACTCGAGGCACTGGGGAAGGATTGGTGAGAAGGGTAATTTTTACCTTTTCAGCAAGCAGTTGACCTATCCAACACAGTAACTGGTATTCATAATCCCCCATCCCCAGGCCTAACTGCCACTGTGGTGTCATCATAAGGGGTGAAGGGAATGGATGATGCTCTAGCTCAGAAGGGAATACTCTTCCCGTAGCCCAGGGAGTGTTGGTGGCACGCACTTGCAGAGTCCACCCTGTTTTCCTCTCCCTACCCTGGTCCAGAGTTCCACTGAGATCTAAGATCAGAGTAACAGAGCTTAGAGACCACCTGGTCCAGTCCGCAGTTCTAGATAAGTAATTTGAATGTGGTCACAGAGAGATTTGGATGTAGTGTCCTAGATGCTAATGCAGTGTCCTTAGCACAGCTGGCCTTAACTAGATGAGATTCCTTCCCCTGCTTAGAGGAAGATGCCTACTGTTTTCGAACTGTGCAGCCTTTGTTTTACTTATGAACCCTGTCTGCAGTATGACATCATTGCAGATGCAAGGAGTAGTGTCCATGTTCTTCCTCTCCCTCTTCTTAGGAGTTCCAGGACCTCTGGCCTCAGTTGTCCTTGGTCATTGATGGCGGACCAATTGGGGATGGCCAGAGCCCTGAGTGTCGCCTAGGCTCAACTGTAGTTGACTTGTCTGTGCCTGGAAAGTTTGGCATCATTCGTCCAGGCTGGTGAGTCTCTTTCCTGTGGCATAGGGATAGAATTTGAGGGCGGTGGGAGATGCAGAAAAGGCCTTGACAAAATAAAGGTGGTCACATTCTCTTGCCCTCATGGGGGTGAACAGCTTTGAAGAAGTAGTGGATAGAGTGGGATTAGAGTTTGCTCTTAAACTAAGTTTGCTGTTCTTAGGATTCAAAAGGATTCATCAAGGGTTTAATGAACAGAGCATAGTAAGAGCAGAGAGTTTAGAGGTCCCTGTTCACCGTACTCTGGTGGGCTCAGGGCTTTGAAAAGTCAAACTCTTAACTGTCCTCCATTTCCTCCTCAGTGCCCTGGAAAGTACTACGGCTGTCCTCCAACAGAAGTACGGGCTGCTCCCCTCACATGGATCCTGCTTATGACACTCAGGAGGAGGGAGGGCCCAGGGACTGGTGCTAGACACTATGTGTCTGTCCACTGGCGGCTGGCAGGGCCTCATTTGCAGAGGCCATTGGGGCTGCAGTGTCACTAGTCTGACCCTTTAAGGCAGTATGTCTAAACAGTGTAAACCAGGCCCCAGAAGCTGCTGGTTTAGTCTCACA